TTTTTTTTTTTTGTTTTTTTTTTTATTTGTATACATACCGGCTGAAAAACTGCAAATAGCAGTAAAACTACTGCAATTATTTTGTATGAGACAAACATTGTTTTATTTTTTGTTATACGCATTATCACTGTTGGTACTTTTTTTTTTCTTTTTGTATTATTATTATATTATATTACTTGTGCTGTTTAATTAATTTTATATTTTATTGTAAAATTGATTAAATTATTTTTTTTCTAATTTGAATTGTTATCGTTTTGACCTGTGACAGCTTGGCGCGGTTTCTCTAAGCAATGCAATGCACGCGTTTACCTTGACATTTCTAGGAATTGAAGAACAGAAGTGCAACTGCAAATACAATTTATACCTCTAAGCGCTAATTCTGCAGTTGTTTAGCACAAAAAAAAAATTGTGTTTGTTGTATTAGAAATTGAATTCAAGATATATATTATGTTTGTATAAGGAAAAACACTTTGAATTTTGGGTTTTTGCGGTATTTTCCAATATATATTATATATATTATATATGTATATATTATAATTTCAAATTCTTATTCACTTTGATAAGATGTAATTTATTCACTTATAGTAAAAACAAAAAAAAACACGTTAATCCAATGCGCTCGTTTTTACTTTCACGAAACGCTCAACTGGCACCGCTGAAACCGCAACTGATATTAAAATTAAAACAACAAATTAAATAAAATAAATGTCTGCTTTGATCTCAACCCCATGCATGAGTGTCGTTCGTTTTATGGCATAAGTGCGCCGCGGCGTTAAGCTTTTCATATTAAGTGAGTAGCTTTGAGTACAATTGAGCGCAGCTTTAGTTTATTGAAATTCATTTTACTCCCGCCTAACGTTGGTTTTTTGTTTTTGTTTTTATTTTTCTTTGCAGTATAATTTTTTGTTTTCATTTTACTGTTGCTATTGCTTTTGCTTTTGCTTTAATTGAGTGTAATTTACGTATAGAGATTGATTAGTATTATTGCTTTGCTATATTATTGTTGGTACAATATTTAAGTCGCTGCTATGCTTTGGTTGTTGTCATTGTTTTTGTTGTTTGTATTGTTGTTATAATTGTAATTGTTGTTTTTGTTGTTATTGTTGTAATTGTTGCGCTAATCGCACGAAAGATTATGACATGAAAACCAAATAAATTACTTTGTTGCCTTTTTGATATTATATTGGCTTTGCTGGCTGCTCGGTTGACTCAATTGACTCGGTTGGCTTCGGTTAGCTTTGTTGGTTTAGTTGAATTTATTTGTTAGTTTTGTTTTTGGTTTATTTATATTTGTTTAATTATTTGTTTAAAATATTTTTTTAATATTTTTTTTGAGAGAAAATTGATGATGTTTTAAATATAAATTGACAGTTGTGACAATATTTTGAATAGAAAACGTGTTTGCTACAAGTTGTTTAATATTTACTTATCGCTTTAATAAGTTTTAGCATGAAAATCTTTCCAAAAATGTATAAAAAAATAGGCCTTTCGCCTCTTTAGGAAGTTTTAACTTTTCAACTTCATAACTACAACTTCTACATACCGACATAGGTCTATTAATTATAAATTCAAACAGTTCCGAGATGTGTCATATGAATTAATGGTTCCATATGCTGCATTGTCTTCATGAAAAGCATACATAAATCACTAAAACGTTTTTATATAAAACCAGTTGTTGTTGTTGTTGTTGTTGTTGTTGTTGGCAATATTTTATAGTTTAGGATAAAACTAAGACTTGTTGAACAAATTTAGTTAAAAGATATAAATTATAAATATTATAACTAGAAATAATATAAGAGCTCATAGCAACACAAAAATTAATAACAAAAATAAGTTTTTCATATATGGAGCAGTAACCCTCCAATCATTCTTTATTGAACAACCGGATAAATCATGCACCACATCTCAGAGATCAAACCTCAAAGCACTCATAATATATGATAATATATGAGTGCTTTGAGGTTTGATCTCTGAGATGTGGTGCATGATTTGTCCGATTGTTCAATAAAGAATGATTGGAGGGTTACTGCCCCCCATATGAAAAACCTGAATATAAATTGTACATACATTGATGTTGACATCACTTTTCTCAATATTAAAAAAAAAACTATATTAATAATTTATTAAATATACTTTATTTATTAAAATAAACTTTTTGTTGTTAAATTAAAAACTAAAAAATTTTGTTTCAAATTTAAATTTATTAATATATTTTTTAATTATAAAATAAAAAAAATCTTAATTTTATGATGTACAAGCTATATAAACAATTTATTATTAAAATAAAATTTTTATTATTGTTAAATTAAAAACTAAAAAATTTTGTTTCAAATTTAAATTTATTAATATATTTTTTAATTATAAAATAAAAAAATCTTAATTTTATGATATACAAGCCATATAAACAATTTATTATTAAAATAAAATTTTTATTATTGTCAAATTAAAAACTAAAAAATTTTGTTTTAAATTTAAACTTATTAATATATTTTATTTTATTAATATATTTTTTATTTATAAAATAAAAAAAAATTTTAATTTTAGGATATATTCTCTTTTATGGAACACATTTAAAGTGATAGCGACAAAAACATTTCCAATCATCTATAAAAAAATATATTGTATTATATGAAATTGTATTACTATATTTAACAAAATACTATTTTAAATGTATAAAAAACATATTCACATAGACAGAGTGTTTCTTAAAAACCCTTCATATATATAGCAACTGATATTTCCCAGTCCAAAAAGCGAAAAAATCAAACGAAAGTGAGAGACGTATACATTGTATTTCACTTATATCATTTATTATTATTATAGTATATTATATATATCATAATTAAACATATTACATACTATTATATCATAATATTTATTATGTATATTAACAATACGAGTATTAACACGTAATTTAAAAATCTCATTGTAATTAGTGTTTATTAAGGCACATATCCCGCAATAGATATACTACTAATTCATTGTAAATAGTATTTATTTAGGCACATTTGCCGCTATAAAACACTATAAGACGAAAAACGAAAAAATTGACGAAAAAATCTTCGTTAAAAAATGCTAAATACATCGAAAATGTTTAGAAACCGCTCATGTCAGATAACTGTTTTCAATCTACGGAATATAATATTACTTAGTTTAATGTTTAAATATCGTTATATTTATTAATATTATTATTATCATTTTTATTGTAATTATTTCAAGATTATAACATGTATGTACCGAATAAATAGGTTGTGTTGGCCTCTTGATATTATTGGCTTAGCTTTCTTAATCGTTTCAAAATTTATATTTTTATTCAATGAATAGTTTTCATGTTTATACATGATTTCTGATTAAAGCCTTATTTGAATCAACCTATATTTTTGTTTGTACTGAAAACGTTTACCTTGCTTTTTCATACGATTTTATGTGCTTTTTGGACCTAGGAACTTCCTACTTTAATACAAAAACTTTAAAAACAAACACCCATATATATGTTTATATAAACTTTAAATAATATTAAAATTAAAGACTACTTATTACTTAAAATCGGCAGCCGCCATCTCAAGGTCTAGCATGATGGCTGCTTTTAAATTTAGGTGACCTCAATTCTCCAGCACTTGAGAGTAAGAATAGTGAATTCAATGGAGACCTTGCTTCAGGATCGTTTATTCTTGGCATTTGTCTAACACCGCGACCAAGTGTTGGACGTCGTCCAGGTATTAAATGCGAAATAGTACTATGCAATTCACTGCTTGGATTTGTGTGGCTACAAAGAACTGTTGATAATTGCTGCACATGTCTAACATTCCGTTGATGAAGTAAAACTTGAGTAGTACCCATAACGTTGGGAGACATCATTTGAATGCATTGCGGATACACATTATTTGTCGTATTAATCGTTGAAGTTCGAGTTGACATTTGTGGATAAACTGAATGTGCACAATTCCTAGGAAAAAGTGTATTTGCAAAGTGAGGTATCATTTGTGGATTTCTAGGATATGTAGTAATTCTATTAAAAGTTTTTGTTAAATTGCCAGTCACTATATGTGAAGATCTCGGAAATGAATTATTCATATAGAGATACTGTGATGCATTCATATTACTGGACATTTGCTGTGAACACCTTGGATATGAACTCTTCATTCGATGGGATTGTCTTATATTTGGAAAACCGAAATTATTTGTGGAAAAACCATCACATCCTTGTGATCTTCTCATGTTATGTTCTATATTTTCAGTAAGACGAGATGACATAAAATTTGAATTTCCAAATTGACTACTCTTAGTATTTTTCGGTGCGTTACCAAATTGATCTGTATATTCTTTATAAAATTCATTACAATTATAATTGTAACTATTCGAATATGGATTATACATGAAATTATCATCTTCTCCTGAATTAGGTCTGTTTAAATTCTGACCATTCGACAGGTCGCAACTGTTGTATAAGATACTCGGTTCGCTGTCATCATGAATAGTGTTGAATAATGGTGCTGTTTCTGGGGATGAACTATTGATTCCAGAATTGATTTGTATGTTGCATGGATCACAAACATGCTCTTTTTTCGGTCGTTGCATTCGAAAGTTTTTGTCATTTGGATCCGTTTGTTGGTTGTTTATAGTATTATCGATATTCAAATCTTTTTTAGGGAAATCATAACTAATATTTTTTTCAACACCGTATTGTGAAATATTACCTGAGCTACCATGTTCTTGCATATTCATTAAATGGGAACGACTCTTATTGCATTTCTTTTTATTAATATTTTGCTTTTTATGAAGACTATCAGATCCACATGTATTAGTTGAACGGGTTACAGAATCATCATTAATCGTACGCAGATATTCATTTATTTTGAGCAAAATGTTTCGTAGAGTTTTCGATTTATCAGTTAACCGTGCTGTAGGTTCATGGTTTGGTGTTGCATGAAGGTATTCACCTCTATCAACAGAGTTATTCCACAGATTCGAGCGTACTAAAGTTTCATCTTTTGGTGTATTATGAAGATAATCACCTCCTTGACTGGAGTTATTTTCTAAGAATACACGGGCATCAGTTGAGCTTACTGGAGAATCATCTCTAGGTGTTGTATGTAGGTATTCACCTCTTTTATAAGACTTAGTTTGTAGAGGTTCGTTTCTTTTTGGTATTTCGACCCGAACAATTCTATTGTTCTTCAAATCAATATTATATTCCAAACTGTTTTCTAGAAATTCAACGTATTTTATTGGATTGTTTTCCTCTTGACGTTGTCGGTTTTTTGTAATATCATCTAATGGTTTGGACGCGGTTGAACCAGTTTCGTTATTGTCTTTAGATTGCATTTTTATATTGTTAATATGTAAAGCGAAATTTTTTAGTACAGCCATATTTTTTTCTAAAGTATTACCCATAACTTCTGGAGTAGTTTCGGAACTTTCTGAGTTAAATTTGTGTTGATATTTACCTTTATTGGACTTCGTGCTTTGTTTCGGAAGTGTGTATTTCTTTGTAATATCAACTTTCGAATCTGGAACAGAATGGGATGATGAAATGGGTTCAGTTTGTTGTAGGCTTCTGCTAGATTCTGTTAATACATTAACTGGTATTTCTTTTTTACTTTCAGTAGTGCAAACTTTTGATTTTGTGGATTTCTTGTTTGGGCAATTACTGAACATTTTTTGCGATATTGGAGTAGCCATAAACATGTCCATGGATGATTTACGTGGCATTTTACTTTTCTTGCATTTTGTGGTAGATTTTAATTTTGAACTATTATATATATTTAAGTTATTAACAACTGTTTCTTGTTCTTCAACATTTATTAAATTCTCTGTGATTGGTTCACACTGCTTATCATTTTTTTGTTCATAATCGCATTTAAGTTGTTTGTTTTTTTCTAACAAATTTGTATTAAAGGATTTTTGTTTTTGAACATTGGGACTATACTGAGTACTTAGTTTATACTTACCTTTATCTGCACTCATATTTATAAAAAGGGGTTCTTCAACAGACTTTGAAATTGTGTAGTCTCGACTCGGAATAAAAGTATTATTTTGCTTTGGAATAAATTGCCTTTTTGCAGGTTGACACCGGCTTTCATCATCTTTTAAATTTTCACAGCATTTTTTGGATGAAATTTTTAATGTTGAGTTAAATATGTCTGCAATCGCTTTCTTTATATCAGCATCTGTAAGATGTTTTGGAATCTCAAATGGATGTGCCATACCTATTATACCATCATTATCAATTTGCGAGTTCACTGCGGAGTCTAGCACAGGTGGTGCCGTTCCATCTCCCAAATCTTCGGAATGCTCTGAGAAAGCGTTTCCTCTCAAGATATTCAAATTTGTTGATATTTGTTTCGCAATTTCATTAAGATATATGTCATAATTGTTGTATAATATGTTAGCATCTGTTTCTGTTACAACTGGCTTAAATATTTCTCCATTAGATGTGAAGTAAGTTGGTGTAGCAAAGCATTGGGAAGACGATTGATTAATGTTGCTGTCTTTTGGTATTGTCCCAGTCCCCGATATACTCGTGGACGATAATTTCTTTTGCTGTTGCACATCTTGATCTTTGGTATTTTTATTGTATGACAATTGTTTACCTCCAGTTATTTCTGGACTAGTTGAATTTATCATTTCGGATGACTTGTTTGGGTACTTAAAATTTTCTGTTTTTTTATTTGTCAATAAGTTAAGCGTTTGTTTATCATTTTTTGCATTAATATTAAGCTTAACGGAATTTGAACCCTTTCCACATTTTGGACCGTGAAACGTTCTTTCAGTTTTGCAATTTCTAAAGACTTTTGAACGTGACTTTACACCTGGTGGCAATTGAAAAGATTTCTTTGATTGCACAGCAGTACTCTTAGTTTTAGGTTCTGATTTTGGTTTCTTTTTTGATATATTTTTATTAGATTCTTTTTCATCTGCTCTATTATTAGTAGCTTCCGATACAATTTCCTTTATAGTTGCAGTGTCAGATATTTGTAGGATGCATTCATTTGCTTGAGTTTTAGACCTTTGATTAGAACTGACTTTTATCGACTTTATAACATTTTGACCATCGTATGACTTATTTTCTTGACGATTATTTGAATCGTTTATCACTCTTGAATCACAATCGAATATTGACACATTTTTTGTAGTTCGCACAGATTCCTTTTTATTTAACTTTTCTTTCTGCAGTATATTTTTTTTGGTTTTTTGGTTTTGAAGTTCTTTTTTCACACTACCCTGTTTTACTTTAATTTTCTCTGGAAAATCCTCCAAGGAAGCCGAACCAATTTTTCGATACATCATACTTTCCAAGTACGCGAGGAAAAAAAGAAAAATTTTATAATAATTGAGAGACGTCAAACAAAATTTATTGAATTTAACAACGTTCGTAATTAGAATTTATATCTAGGCTTATAAGCAATCATCAAACCAATATGACTGTTTCAGATATATTACTAGAAAAAAAATATAATTTTTTATTCAATTATTTTGTACTGTCATTTAAATATGAAATATTGAAATTCAAAATATGATTACTAAGAACTTGAATAAGTTATTCATTATAATGTTTCTATAACTCTAATTTAATAGTCACACTTAGAGTTATTGAACCTTTAAGTTCGTTAATAGTAAGGGATAAAATGTAGTTCCACACTATCTCAGCCTGAATTCTAAATTCAGACAGTATTCTGAGAGGGTTAAATATCTATATCAAGAAAAATATATAATGAAAATAATCAAGAAACAAACAGATGAACACCTAGACCATACTTTTAGTCTGGAACTGGGTATTAGACTGGGTATTAGGTTCACTCTGTAAGTGAACCTGAACTTTGTGAAAACACTGATTATCAAATATCAAAGTGCAATGATACAAATGCTAGCAATTTTACAAACAATTTTTCGGATATAAATAGACAGTTGGAGAAGATATAAATGCTATGTGCAGAAATGAAAGTACTACTGGAACCAATATAATATCGTCGGGTCTACCATAAGTGTAGCTCTTGATTTCATTGAAAAATTATACCACGCCATATATAAGACACTACACCATCCTTGGTAATGCATCGCTTCCTTAAGTCATAAATTATGTCTTCGATTATGCCAATACCAATCGAATTAATTATGGTAACTTCTTCATCTGCCAACAATCAACATTCCACGTTCGTTTTAAATTGGCTCTCCTCTAATCAAACTAAATAATAAGAAAAATGTCTCAGAGTACAAAAATTAAAAATTATACGATTAGTCCCAAATCAGAAACAATCTCGGATAAATTGCTAGATAAATTTTATCCAAAGCAATCCAAATGATAAAAATATTGCATGCTTTTAGGCTAAAATTTATTGTTTAATTTCTGTATTAAACTTAAATATAGTATTGTTAAATAATTCTCAAATTATTATTTATTTATTATACATAAAGGGATATATTTAATTTAATTATATTATATAAAAGCAAAATAAATTATGTGATTGTTCATATCATAAATAGAAAGACGGAAAAATAATAAACTTTATGTTCTTGAACCAATTAATCTTACCACATTATAATGTGATATTATTAATTTTTCTGCCACGGAATGGTCTAATTTTTAGTATTTACGTTAAATAAGTAAAATAATGACTATTTATCAGAATACTCTAATTAAAATACTCTGTTATTTTTATCCAAGTAATTGTCATATTTAGAACTAAATACAATCTAAATTCGTTTCTAATTGGTACTAAGTGTTTAACATTGAAATTATGTTAGATTTGTACAAAATATTTATATATTACTTAATCAAAAAAGAACGAGAAGTTAAAAGGCACGCAAAATTTTAATTTTCTTAATAATTTTCTTTATTATCGCCTTCAAAGTACTCTCCTCCTGCTGCAATACATGCATGCCAACGCTTGATCCAATTTTCCATACAAGTTTTATAGGCCGCCGAAGGTATGGCCTTCAGTTCACGCAGCGAATTCTCTTTTATGGACTCTATGGTCTCAAAACGTTTTCTTCGCAATGGCAATTTGAGTCGTTTGAGTCGAGAGAAGAGAAAAAAGTCACACGGAGCCATATCTGGAGAGTACGGTGCTTGGTTGATGATATTGGTGGAGTTTTTGGCCAAAAACTGCGACACAACCTACTGTGTGAGCCGGTGCGTTATCGTGGTGTAAAATCCATGAGTTTTCCTTCCATAAATCTGGCCTCTTTTTCCAAATGGCCTCACGCAAACGAAAACAGTCAGCATAACCTTGATTTTAGACCGACTTTGGCGTTCTCTTTTCGGTTTCGGCTCACCTTCGAAACACCATTCGGTCGATTGTTGTTTGGTGGGCATGTCAAATTCATAGACCCATGTCTCATCACCAGTCATGATGCGTTCGATGAATGTGGGGTCACTATCTGCGTTGGAAATCATCTCTTTGGCCACATCACAACGACGCTTTTTTTGAATGAAATTCAGCTAAAAATCGGCAGACGATTCGACTTCTTTGTATAGACGCCAAACAAATACGAATCGTACGATATGCGTTAAACTTTGACAGAATGTGTATAATAGTGTTGCCAGCGTGAAAATAAAAAAATTAACCGAATGGATGAGCGCAAGAATTACAAAAAAAACGAATAAGTTCTTTTTTGATCACAAGGTATATAAAATTCGTCATCTGTTTATTTATATTTAATTTCATAAAATGTCATCAATTATATTTTAAATTTTATAGTTCCCTTGCAAACCAATAGTTTAAATCCAAGTTTCAACAGAGCCATGTTCGCAACAGATATAAAATTGCTGTATATTAGGAATTTTCCTGATAGAGGCAAAGGCGAATTCGCCGAAACCCGTCTAGAGATATACAAAATACAACGTACGAAATTAAAGTTAAAATAATTTAAAACAAAACCGATTGTAAATCTATATAAGTTATATAGGAAATAAATAACTTCGGAAAATCATAAGCAAATCTTTTACTGAATTTTCTTTGCTCTTAATCCATCTATAGATACATCGGTGTTAGTTAATAAATTTTATTAAATCTTTTTAAAAAATTGAAATAATATGAAAACAATAAAAATGTATTTTATTAAATTATTTTTATTAAATCCATACAAAAAATTGAATTTAACATAACAGCAATAAAAGTTTTATTATTATTAAAACAGAAGTCCTTTATTTTTATAGTCATTTATGGAATATATTAGTACAAATATTTTGTGTGGATTCTAATCTAAGTTGTTCTGTGGTTAGCAACTCCTAATCACTGCTATTAATCATTGCTACTAATACCAATTTTTGTTGAGGGTAAAAGTTTAATATCTATATAAGGATTTTTTCTTATTTATTATAAGAAATTATATAGTTTCTTAACTAATTCAGTTAATATAAATATCAATTTAATATAAAACTTTTTTTCTGAAATAGTTTCGTTAGAATACAAATGCTTAATCACACAACAACCAAGATAAAAGTTTTGTTTGTAGTCATATCATCTGACAAATTGAAGTCACTTTAGTTTATTAAGTGCCACATTATGTTTAATCTGATTGTCTGGGCAAAAAATCTGCAAAACTAAAATGTCATTCAATGTTTGCTCCTAAAGAAAAATGTTGTAATTAACTTTGTTTAGCACTAATTTTCCTTCTCTGGTAATAAATAAAAACACAGGAAATAAATGAAATTAATTTTATAATTCATTTTTAAACTTAAAACTATTTAAAAAAATGTTTAAATGTTACACAAATGACATAATTTAAAATAAAACACACAAGAAATGCGAATTAACCGAAGATCTAAGTAAAAAGATACAAAACAAATAAAATACTTTGAACGTTAATGTTCAATTGTCATGGTTGAAGCAAATGAACACTGAACTCCATCCACATTAACTCCAGCAGGTCAAAGCATTTTGCAAACTAACGAAAACTAACAACATTCAAATAAAACAACAAAAAAAAAAAATTAAGTAACTAATTAAAATACAAATTTTGCAAATTAAAAAAAAATATAAAAATATTAAATAATTTAAAAAAAATTTAAAAAAAAAATTCAATAGACAAATTAGCGTATCTTTGCGAGCCCAACAAATGTGTATATTGCAAATCGGAAAAAAATGCTTTCATGGCCCATAAAAGTTAAACCTAATGACTGCACTTTTGCTGCTCCCGCCACTTGACCAGTATTGCAGTGCATTTCATAAAAACTAATAATTGACGTTTGGCGTTCGCTGCATTTATCTCGACATTTTTGTCAAGGTGCCTCAACTGGTTAGCACTTTGGACTCCTCACAAATTCGAACGCTTGTCAAAAGCTAACAAGTGACTCGAATCAGGCATCTCAAGTGGTGAAGGAAGTGAAACATCTTACAACGTTCGCGTACAATACTAAGTAAGTTTGCACAAAAAGTAGATAAATGTACATAGACATATACATATGTACATATTACATATTAAACTGTTTGTTTATGTACACTTGCGGATGAAGAGCTGTTGAACACGTAACTCTTAAAAAGATACGAATTTTTTTTTTTTTATTATTTTTTTTTTTTTTGCACTAAGGACATATCACTATTTTCTTTGGCATGCCGCACCCTAATTTTGTTCAATATTTGAACCAAAAATAAGTTTTTTTAATTGTATTTGCACTTAAAGCCAAAACACCACGAAGTTAGATAACATTTCCTTTAAAGGAAGTTTGATTAATAAACCAAACTCAATTGCATTGAAATTTCCATTTCCATTTTAATTTCATCATTGAAATCTAGCATTGACACGCAATTTCCTAACATTCATTCCCTTTTGGGTAGCAAATTAGAAAAAAAACTATCTCTGGCATATGCCATACATTGAACTAATATCTGACATATGATTTACAACTGAATATATAAAAAAAATTATAAGACAGGTGGTTTAAGGAGCAGTACCATAACTGGAAAATATAGTTTTGCTATTTTATAATTATGAAATGAAAATAATTTTTCAACTTTAAATACTTTAAAGGAAAGTCTACTATTTTATTAATATCTTACATCCTATTTTAACTTTTAAGATTATTAGGGAAAGTCTCCTATATTTCATTAACATTTCCTATTTCAAACATATTTATTAGTACTTTTTTAGGCAATGAATATAGTTACTCAAATAATTTCTGTAGATTATTATTATGTTGAGGCTAGTTGATTCAGTGCACTTGAGCACTTTTACTCTCTATTAACAGCGAAGTTTCTTCATAACCCCTACCTACGCCTTGATTGGATTATTGTTTATCACTTCATCAGACTAAGCAATAACTGACCTCAAATCTGTATACCTTACCGAGAAACCTGTAACCATTCTGATATTCAATAACTATCTTTATTACTTTTTATTTTTATTTTATTTAGTTTTCTTATTTTAATTTTAAGTGCTGTAAGAGCGCACTGTTTTTCCAGTTTTTTTTGCTTTTATGTTGCTGGTGACTTGAATAAATAATTAT